ATAAAATTAAAAATATTCTCATATATTATCTTCTTAAAAACACATATTTACATAGTTTTCTATGTTAATTAAACTAAAATAAAAAATCTATAAAGTGACGTCTTTTTCTGACAACCTTCCCATCCCCTTGCCCTTTTTATCTCGATCCCCTCCCCCCCTATTTGGATGACATCCTTTATGGATGGCTCCATACTAAATAAATAATAAAAACAATTATTACCGAAGAATCTTATTACTTTCTGTGTTTTTTATAATTTGTTTCACAGACAAATAATATTCTATAATCATAATAAAATAAATATCATAATCAAATAAATCATAATCACAACCCTCAGAATTAGGGTCCATATTCAACAATGTGGACCTTAAAATGTTTGAAGCCAGCAAAAAATTGTTGTTCTCATTTCTAGGTTTTATGGGAACCCCTTTGTGTCGACCTAATGCCGTCCTGTAACAGTTTGTAACAGGACGGCATTAGGTCCGTTTGTTACAGGACGGCATTAACCTCATTTTTCCTAATTCTGAGGGTTGTAATCATAATCAAATAAATCATATTCTCTAAACAAATTGTTTTAAACCCACAGTTCTTATACGAATATGAATCAGCATTAAATTATCTTTCTAACGATATATGAAAAATACATTTAAAAAAAATAATTTTTTATCATAAAAATTATTACTCTTTTTATATTAGGCCCAAAAGAGCACCTTCCGGTGCTCAAAATAACGGGACTTTCTTTTTGGCAACTTATCATATATTTATGTTGACTTGTACAAAGTTTCAGCATTACATTATTTTATTCCTGGTTGTATCAAAATTCTAGCGAACTATCTACGCTCAATTTCCTAATAAATGTACCCCCCCCCTTTATTAATTTTTGGACATTTTTGGACCCTAAGCTTATTAAGACCCTCCCTTCCCATTTATTAATTTTTACTTGTTATCAACAAAAAAATTCAGCGAAAATCGGCCTTAAAAATTTGAAAATAATTTTCAGTCACCGATAAAAACTTTCGGTGTAAACAGGTTTTACAAATTGTCGACCTATTAAATCTCCATTTGCTAAAAATGAACTTTTAGTTTATTTCTCAACAAAGCTCTGGTTTTAATTAAAGGATTTATAATGCTGAATATAAGTTTTATACTTCGCAAAGCATAAAACTTATATCAGCACAATAAATCCTATCGAAATTATGATAAAACAGCCTAACCCTACCCTAACAGCTGTTAGAAAATGCGCTTTTGACCACAAGTCAAACGCGCATTTGACTTGAACATGCATAATTTGCATGCCGATTAAACGGATTTTTTCTGAAATTTAATAAACGGAGGGCATGTTTAATGCCCCCTGTTTATTAAATTTCAGAAAAAACAGGTTTTACAAATTGTCGACCTATTAAATCTCCCCCCCTCCATTTATTCCCACCCCCTGTTGTATTCGGCACTCGAGAGTATAGATTTTTATAGCTAGGTATTTTTTTCAACTTAAAACGGACCATAAGACCGCATAAGATATTTGCTCTTAGTTAACTTATAAATTACAGTTCAAGCCTGTATAAAATGGTATACAGAGTTTTACAAAAGTTAAATATAAAACTTGTTAAAACTAAAAGAACTGCGGATTGCAGGACTTCAAAAATTCAAAATTAAATATTAATTTATTAAATAGAATAGATCTTTGCATAAATATCTTTATGCAAAGATATTTATGCAAAAAAATCTACCTAGTTAATATATATATATATATATATATATATATATATATATATATATATATATATATATATATATGACCTGGAATTTTTTTTTAAATTATCAATTTAAACTAAATTATTATTTTTTAAACAACTTTAAATTTATAACAGAAAAGTAAAGCCAGGGTTATGTTTACAAATAGAATTATATCTTTTAAATAAATACTTAACCTGCATGCATCTATCTAAATGCATAAAGATGCATATATTAAATTTAAGTATGTTATTTAATTGACATTGCCCATTTGTTTTTTAAATTGCAATTTGCCCAATGCAGTAACAAGTCAATTTGATATATATATGAACCCCTGGAATTAGGGTCGACATTTAGCAATATTGACCAAGAAATATTTAAGGTCGGCAAAAAAATGCTGAACTTGTTTCTATGTTTTATGGATAAACCTTTGTATCAAATTTTTTTGCTGAACTCTAACAAATTAAGATTGACAAGTTATTTTCTATCTCATTTTTTCAATTCTGAGGCCTGTATATTTATGTATATAGGCCTATATATAGCGAGCAAGAAAGTGCTGACAGGGTGGTCATTTTTAAGTTTGCTTGCGCAATTTAAAAAATTAATTTTTTTCTGCTATTTAAATTAAAATAAAATACTAGATAAAATAATTGCAAAAAAAAAAAAAAAAAAAAAAAAAAAAAAAAAAGCCGTAAAAAAACCCCATTTTTCTTAAAAACTAAACAAATAAACAAAAAGGTTAAGTTGCAATTTAGAACAAAACGCTTTTATTTTTTAAGTAAAAGCGTTGCCCACATGCCTGCAACCATAAAACATAGAAATGAGGTTGACAATTTTTTGTCGACCTCAAACACTTTTAGATCAGCATCACCGAATGCCGACCCTACTTCTGAGGACTATATGTACATATAGGGTAAGATAAGGTAATTCCATCCCTGAGGCAATTCCAGTCCCCTTAGAGTTTTGGACCAATAAAAATGAGCTATAAATTAGAAAGAGGTTCTCTTCCTGTTATACATTGCCAACTTCCTGTTATTCTTAATGTATATACTTCCTTTATTCACACAGCTATAGAAACTTTTTTACAAGACTTTTTTTTGGAAATCAGAATATAACAATAAATGAATTACTGATGTAATTCATTTATTGTTATATATGTGTTTAATGTGTATTTTTATTTTACTGAACATTTGTATTTAGGTTCAAATTAGTGTTTTATTTGTATAAATGAACTAAAATTGAAATGATAGCTCTGGGAAATTCCAGCCCCCCCCCCAAATGGCAACACTTTAAAAATGAAAATTTGAACTTTAGCTTATTAATAAACTTGAGCAACATGTTAATTATGAAGCAACAACATTTGTATTCAGTAAAAGAAATAATATTAAACTTAATTTCAACCAATTTTGTCATAGAGGCTGACAGTTCGGATTTTTTTTTTTTTTGGCAAGAGCATAATTTTTTTTTATCAAATGAAAATTATTTCCTGAATGTTTATGCATGTAAATCTTTTTTTGTATGTTTTTTTTTTTTAATTTTATTGTTTTAATGTACAAATTTTAATTTCCGAAGCTATTTTTAAAAATGTTTCAAAGGAGGTGGATTTGCCCCATTTCATACATATTGAAATTTAATTTTTTTTTTAATTAAAAAAAAAAAAAAATTAATTTTTAAACTTTGTTTTTGTTCATTTATGTAAATAAAAGGAGTTTGTTTAAAAATAAATGTTTTTTATTCTATATTGCTGTTTATATGCATTTTTTTAAACTAGAGGTTTACCCCATCTTACCCTATATCTATACATACACAAGGAGGGATTAAACCGTGGTTTAAACCAAGTTAAGAAATATGTTAAGAATACAATCATGCATTGAATTATGAATTATAGTAATAATACTAAAAAAATTTAATTTACTCAAGTGAAATATCTAATGTTTTTTTATTATTATTGAAAATATTGATTAAAAATGGTTTACTTAAAAAAAAGGAGTTTAAACCAAAAAAACCATGTTTTTTTTTTTAATGTATTCTTTTTCAACCCTGAGCATATATATGATAAATTTTTTAAATTAAATGGACTAAATTTCATTGTAGGCTATTCAAATGCCCATTATATATATATATATATATATATATATATATATATATATATATATATATATATATATATATATATATATATTTACCTTAAAGTTGAAGCCAAAATATATATATTTAACTTAAAGTTGAACATGAGGAACATTTATACTAACTTTGGTGATAGTTATATATATTTAGTATATATTTACATTATAATATTTAGTATATTTTATACACTATTTTTTAAAGTCCACTTTTGTTATACACTATTTCTCAAAGTTCATCTCTGTTTAGATATCCACTATATTTTTTCACCTTGAAAGTTACATATTTTTTCTCCTTGACTTATGATGATAAATTTGGTATCAAAATTCATCATTTAATAACCTATATACAGAATTGGTTGGTTTAAAAAATAAAAGTTTAAACTAAAAAGAAATAATATTTTAAAGTCCAGGGAGATAATTAAACTCATCAAATTATCTATCTTTATAATAAATGTACTTTTTTTTAACCTACCTCAACTATAAATCAAAAGAATTTGAAACAAAGAAATGTGTAACAGAATAAACTCTTAATACATATTTCTTTTAATTATGGTTAATCATTTTGGGATTAAAATATCTTCAAGATAATTTTTTATTTCAACCAACTAGCTTTATTATTTATTATTCAGCAAATAGCATAAATATTCTTGAATGATCTAATTTCCAAAAGCTTTCAAAAAAGAAACAAAAAATCAATAATATTTAAATACACAACTAGAATGTTCAATTTTTATAAAATTAAAATTGAAAAGTTATATTTATTTTTGTAGAGACAAAAATTCACGTTAAATTCATCTTAAATAAAAGACAAAATACACATAAGGCAACTACAATTAAGACGAAAAAACAAAAAACAAAAAACAAAAAAAAATGGAAATATTGAAAACTTATCAAATGTTAACTTAACTTGAGTAAAGCTAAAAATATTTATTACTTTTTAATGCAAATAATAAAATTTTCTTTTTCAGTGTCTTAATTATTTCGTTGAGATTTTTATAGATATTACTACATATATTTACGAATATATGAAAGTATTCGTAAGAGACTCTTCCCTCTTCCTATTCACTTAACACTATATGTAAATTTTAATGAGATTTATTATTATATTAAAACTATACGAAATATAACGAAAATGCAAAATTTACATTTGATTGCTCACAAGAGACAGCTTTCTGTGATCAGTGGCTTTTTCAAAAACGCTGTACTGACTAAACTCAACCTTTTTCCGTGAACTATAAATAAAATTGTCGGGCCTCAAACATCGTCCTTAGACCGACTTTTTCCTATCGCATCCGGTACTAATTTATAGTTTTTTTATCATAAATAAAACAATTTATATATGCTAGAAATTAAAATTTTTTTATCATAAATATTTATCAATTATATATCATAAATAAAAATATTTCTGTAAGAGTTAAATTTTCGCGTCAAGGTAAGGAAGAAGGCGTGAACTTCCTGGTTAAATGCATTTCCGCGGTGCTCTGTGATAAGACCGTTTGGTCTTCTTGGGGCTCCTGAATAACAAAATAAAAATAAAAAAGTTTTTGTTATCAATGTGTACAAAATTAAAGTATAATGAATACCATCTTTAGGGCAATGGTTGGTATGTATTTTAACAGGAACCATAATTTTAGTATTGCAAGGAAATCTTGGCACTACCTTTTTGTGCCCTGATCGAAGCATTTTTTCCCCCGCTGGTACTTAAGTTCTAATAGCTAAATTTTATCTAACGAGGTTTGATGCCAGCTTTGGCACATTTTTGACATTTTTCATGGTAATGAAGGAGACGTGAACTTACTAGTTAAATACTCGCGGTACTCTGCGATTAGACCGTAAGGATTTCTTGAAGACCCTTAAAATAAATGGTTCTAGACATCGTTCAGCTGACTTTCAGGGGTTTATTTGTTTAGTAATAGTAATATATTTAAATAAGTCTTTATAGATTACATGACAAATAAATTAAAAAAAAAATTATTTTTTGAAATGATCTATTAATAAAAAATCTAAGTTAGCTTTAAAGTTTGTTACTACGGTTAAATAACTAAATAAACTAAACTTTCAAACAACATGTTTTGGAAGTACAGTTATTACGCTCAATAAGAATATATACAAATCAAGAAATAAAATTTTGAAATTGTGTTAATATAATCATAGGCAATTCTAAGAAAAAAATAAGGAGGTGGAAAAGGGAAGGGGAAGAACCCTAAAAAGTAACAAGTACCTTAAAAAAAAGGTCAAAATCATCTAGCTCAAATGTGTCAAATTCCCGACTATATTCCTCAAAAAACCATCTATAACTTGAATATCAAGTTATAGTCATACTCCTCCCCTCCTTCTCAAAAAAGGCAATTCTTTGAGAAGGAGGAGGGGAGAGGATATAACTCCGCCTCTTCCGTAGAATCGCTCTTATGGATACAATGACAAAAGTCTTTATGGATTTTAAATTTACGACCTAAATAGATCATTTTTCTGTTCCTGATATGTCAATTGTTTTGTCAAATAAATTTGCTTGATAATTTAAAAAATTTATGTCTTTTTCAGCTCTTGGCTAATCTCTACATTACTTTGAGTGCAGGGATAATATAAATGAGAGTGTAGATCACACACAATATTGGCAATCTTATGGCACTGAATCGTCAAAGCTGTTTTTTTCGACTGCAACATTTTCTCTTGTGGGAACATTAAACAAATTCTATGAAAGTGTTTGTTTACTACTAGTACAAGAAAGAACTCTAGTAATTATGAAAAAACATTTCAAACATTTCAAATGCTAATTATTTATTCAGCTAAAACTTTAGGGTAGTACTAACTGGTAATGTATTTAGTTTTGTTTTTCTAATGTAACAAATCAAACAGTCACATGTTGACTCTTTTTTAGTTGGACATATTTTTCATTGCTGGAAAGTCAAGCAAGGAACATCATCACTTGAATCTGTTTTTCTCAGAGCTATGGGACACTCAAAAAGTTTTATGAACACTTAAACAAAAAATCAGAGATTTTTTGTTTGAGTGTTTACAAAAATAATAATTATAAGTTATCATATATAACTTTAAAACACGATAAATTTGGGGCAAAATTAAAATATACTCATAAAACCATTAAAAAGTACTACAATCATCATACAACTACACTTCTTTTTTTATTTGTTTATCATTTTTGTTGTACTTTTGGCTAATATAATTTTCCAAAACATCTTGTTTTTATCACTATTTCTTTGTTTAGCAAGGTTATAATCATTTATGATTTAAAGTTTTTTCAATTTTTAACACTATATGCTCCAAGAATCAAGGCCAGAGATTCAAAGACTAAAATTGAGGCTAAATTGACCAATATTGAAATAAACCACTGCATCATACTCTATATTATGCGTTTTGAACTTTACTTAGAACCTTGCGCTTTTCCATTTAAAAACTTTTGCAACTGTTTAGTTCTTCAGAGATTGGTTTGATTCAAAAACAATATCTATTAGTAAGCACAGGTCATGTTTATAGGTACCCATTGTGGTAATTTAAGTTGCATTTGCACTAAATCTTAGCTACTACTGGATAATGTGCTGCACGACCATGCAATGTTAACAACTTACTTTTTTTTACATTTTACACCTTGGCACTACTATTTTAAAGTACAAATACTTACAAAAAATGTCTATTTGAACACAGTTTGAACATTTAAAAAATAAAAAAGTCCATATCTCTCAAGATGTCATACAATGATTTTATTCATAGTGACACATCATACAAGTAAGTTCTTTAAAAATATCATAGACAACTTTTATATATTTATAATTATATATCCAGACAACAATAGTTTTATTAGGAGATTCAACTTCTTCAGATTCTTTTATTTTTGTAAATGATATTGAGGTGTTTGTAGCAATATCACAAAATCATTTTTATTGTTTAGACTGGGAATCAGTGTCAGTGTTTATTAAAATATCTACAATTGGAGCCAATTCATTATATACACTATGAAAAACAACTTCTTTTTTAAATTATTAACACTTCCTGAATGGAAAAACCTTTTTCAAGCAAGCTTGATTCGTCTTGCTAAAAAAACTTCTTCTTTAATGTTTGTCTCTTAACCTCGCTTGTTTTCCCTTTTATCCAAACAAGAAGTTCAACAAAATAAAGTATCCAAACGTTTTTTAAAACAGCCTTTTAAAATTATATTACGATACTATGCTTTTAAACAACCGAAAACATATACCGCTTCTTAAAAAATATAAAAGCTTTGCAATTTAGAACTGTTTTTAAGAGAAATAAGTCACATAATTGAAATCGAAGGTCATTTTTCGTGTCTTGAAAAGCTCATTCTAAAACTTTCATTTTATTATGATTTTAGGAGGGCTTTTAACTTAATCCACACTTACTTATGATGCACGCGCCCATGATTAGTGGTACTAAATATGTATTTTGCCTTAATCTAAGTTCTTCTCACTATATTGCAAATATCTTCAGAATAATAAAAGCATTTGCGTCAAAACAGAGTAATCTAG